TTCAATATGGACATGGGCTTTGGGCCGGGCCGGGATCAATAATTTTACTAAATGGGCCGGCACGGCACGGCCCGATAAATTAAATGGACCGGCCCGGCCCGACACGAAAATGTTAAAAGCACGAGTTTAAATGGGATGGGCCGGCACGGCACGGCCCGTTTGACACCTCTAATCAAAACCACGTTACCCCCTTAAGAAAAGTAACCCAAAAAAAAAAAAACAAATTTATAAATAAACCTAATGCTACACATGTATTTATAAAAAAACCCAAACACTATTTAAACATAGAAACATACCCAAAATCAACTTCAAATCCAACAATTGTATAGTTTTTTGGTGTGTTTATAAATAGGTTTTGAGTGTGTGTAATGATGGGTTTTTGGTGTGTTTATAAAGTGTTTTGGGTGTTGGGTTTTTTTATAATTTCAGCTCCCATTTTGGGTGTTTTAGTGAAACTCCAAAAAAAAAAAAAAAAAAAGAGTGTCGGGTAATGCAATATACATGTAAATGCGTACTTCTTCTCATTTATATTTGTAAAATGTAATTACATCATCTCAATGGAAATTTTACAGGGCAAGCATAATTAATTAATACTCAATCTTAGCAAACACCTGTAATTAATCACTAATGACAATGACATCTACACTAGGGTTCCACCCTTCACATACTCAGTGAAGGCCAAAGCTACGAGTCCCAACATGGCCAGCCTTCCATTCCACAGCTCAGCGTCTGAGGTCATCCCCCCTTTTGATTTCGACTCAACACTCACCACTTTTTCAACAGAGGAACCAAGGAGGCCACAGATGGCAAAATACTGATGCCAAGGAACAATGGGATTCTACCGTTGGATATTTGAGCAAATACATCCTGGCCCTTGGATAGTTCCACTGCCAGAGCTGCAACAAATCCCACCATTGCTATCCTGCCGTTGATTCTCTCTGGTGCTGGCCCACTGAATGCAAGCACGTCTGAGAACTTTGGGATAACGACCTGCTCTCAAGGAGAAATATGTACATATGTCACATGTAGCTCAACCTATACATGAACTTTTATATCACTAGCTATTTTGATTAGTTCTATTGTGTGGTTTAAATTTGACCTAACTTGACGTGATGATGAGTGAGATGATATTAAATCTTGTGCTTGTTTTAAAAGAAAAGAGTTAGCTAGGTACCTTAGGAGAAGGTGGAGGTAAAGGGGAAGGAGCTGGCTGTGAATTAGGTGGACGCTGAAAAATTTGGCACCACGTCCTCATTCGGCTTCCCAGTCAAAATGGGTGACTTGGGTTCTCTTGTTTGAGTAATTTTTGCCTCTTCCGGGTACATCTACAGAGTGTGTCAACTGGTTTGCATGAGAATGAGAAACAAACGTGGCTTCCTCCCACACCACAATGCACCAAATTACCAAAATGTCTCTCGAATTTCTGCGGACATTCTAGACAAACCATTGAAAATACCATTGACATGTGAAGAGAATGATAAAATCTTTACTTTTCTTTTTACGTGACAAAGAATTTAGGCAAAACCACACAAGTGGCAAACTGGTGGGAAATTTACTATGGCAGAATAACAATTCTATGAGAGTTTCTTGGTAAATTCCAAATTAATGAGAACAAAGTTGAATAATATATTCTCATTTCTTTAAATGGATTGAAAGTGACATGAGATATCAGAATATAAAATACATGGTTGGAGCGCAGAAGAAGTTTTGGATGATGTACAAGTCACGCAGGCCTCCTCCAAGTCCAAATAAATATTATCTTTGCTTTTGTCTACCAGTATGGATGTTTATACCAAATCGTTAATCCTAATAAGATTTGAAGACGTATCTGTGTTTTTGTTTTAATCAACACGTGTGCTTAGGTTAAACTTAACCAAGTCATTCAAGAAAGATCTATTCTTTTGGTAGAAAAGATAATGAAAAAGGAAAAATAAAATTGGGACATCAGATGAGGAGAAACACTTGCATACGAAGATAACACTGTTTTGCTAATTTTTGACCAATATATCATCGTGATAATCTACGATTAGTCAAAAATAGTAAAATAATGTTATATACGTAGGAGGGACAAAGTTGGAAGTTGACAGGACATGTTAATGTAATAAAATTAATTATGACAGGAAAAAGAGAGCCGAAACTTGAAGTCACAGAGAGCCCCTGGTTTTGGTTTTTGGGTTTGGGTTGGGGTCTGTCTGCAAACAAATTCCATGCCAACAACATTTAAGAAATAAATAAAAACCGCAGCCAACCAGTCAGAAAATTCGGGATAAAGCGATATATATTCATGACCCACAGTTTTATTTTCTTTATTTTATTCAAAATTGGGAGGCTAACACCAAATCGTCAATCAATCACTACCCAACATCCATTTACACACGGAAAAGGCAAAAGATGGAAAATGCCAGAATTGCAAAGAAAACAGAGGATATTCGAAGAAGAAGCAAGAAGAAGAAACCTGTTGAAGAATAACCCATTAAAAGCTTTTTCATTTGGTTTTTAGCTTCACTTTTCTGGCTTAGTTTTCTGCAATCAAAGTTTCAGCTTCGTATATCCAGTCTCTTATTGCTTAATTCCCTGGTGCGTAAATGAAAGACTTGAACTTTAGCTTTGATTGCATGCACTTGATCTCTTTTTTGTTTCATTTTGATTTTTTTTAAAATGGTATATTGCTCTCTATGTGGTTGCCAAGGGAAAAGGAATTGAAATTTGATCATGGTTCTTCTGCTTTTTCTGTATTGTTTTGGTTTCTGCGAAATTTTAATAGTTCAAATGAAAAGAAATGGTTGGTTGTGTTGAGTTCAGCTTAACAAAGGTTTTAGTTTGATCTCGCGCTTTATGTTGAACAGTTGAAGAATCAAACTTTGAGAAAGTTCTATATACTTAACAAAAAACAAATAAGTAGGTATGTGTATGTATATATATCTTCTTCGTTTTTCTAGAATTTTTAAGCAACCGATTGGACCCATGTCGAAATTTTAGCGGGAGGGTTGTTGACTTTGTATTCTGCATTAAGCTCCCTGTCTTCCTTTGAATCCTTTCCCTCTTTTAATATTATAATGGCCTTTTGACATTTGTGTTTTGGAGATTCTTCTTTGTTATGGAATTCTCTTCTCTAAGAATCGAAGCTGGCCAAATAGAAATTCCTCCAATGCTAATATTTTGTTGAAAATTTCGAAGGAGATACTTATTGGAATCGCAGTCATTTGATTGGTTTTTGTTTTACGTTATTCCAGTTCTGTTTTATGTCTAAGTATTTTGTTTTCCATCAGTGGTAACAATAAAGATTAATTTGGGGGGATCACTATGTTTTATTTTGCTTATTTTTGGAAACGATAAGACCAAAGGTCAAAGGATAAAAGAAAGTGAAGTTTTGAATACGTAGTTTTTCCTTTAGGCTGTCAATGACCACTTCCTAACAGAGTTGATTATTCCAGGATGCTGCATTGGTTTCTGGAAAACCATGAACTGCTTGTTTCCCTTTGTTGGCTAGCTGGTTTGAAGAAGGCATAGCTTCCTGCGTATCCTGTCTGAGATCCTGATGTCTGCTGCTTCAGCTCCCTATGATCAGATGGGAGAACTAATTGAGATGCAGATGCTTGTTGTAGGGATAGTCTGGTAGCCTCTAGTATAAATGTGGAATTGGAATTAGAATTTTAGAACTCGTTCTTTAGTCGGTGGGAACTGAGGCAAGTAAAGGGCTTTGATAAATGCAATTTGATTCTTATGCATGAATGCACTGAGAAAGAGGGAAAAGAAAAAAAAACCATATAAAAGAAGTAAAGTCCAAATAAAGCACTTCATCTTGAAATTTGTTGAAGATGGGCTTGCCTCAAGTGTCTTCTAGCAGTATTGCTGAGGAAATGGCCGCATCACTGTGCACATTTATGCAACCTCCACCTAGACTTGCCGTCATGAGCAGCTGTGATTTAAGTGGGATGCATGGAGGAAACCTGGGAAATCACATGCAGGTGGATTTCACATGCTCTTCTTTTGGAGAGTCCCAAAGGAAATCCATCATGGAGATTCCAAATAAACCAGATTTTTCGAATGCATGTAAAGATGGTAGATCAAACATGCATGCGTTGAAGATTAACACTACGGTAGAAAACTACTGGTTAAATCAGAAATTTGGGCAGAATATGCAGACACCTGTTCCTAGGATTGTTGGTTTCGAACCAAGACAATTAGATTCTTCTCTTAATTTTTTTTATGGAAACCAATATTCTTCAAGTGCGGTGACTGTCACAACAGGTAACACAACTGAGGCCACTGGGTCAGCACTCAGGAAGCGGTTATTGTCTCCTTTGAATGGAATGCTTCTCCAGGATCATTTCAATGGTGATTCTCTAGACATTGGGGATGGGGTTCACAAGAGTGGCGCCTGGGGATACAATGATAGTTCTAATGTTCCCACATTACATGAGCATAAGAAGGCTCATATTGGCAACTCCAGTTATCTTAATTCTACGATCTGGTCTGCATCTTGTTTCCCAGAGTGGAAGAGTTCACTGGATCACAACTGCAATGCAAACTCCTCTTCTGTATTTGATGGTCCTTTGCTTGAAAACAGGGAACCACAATCTCAAAATCAGTTCTTATCATCATCTGGACTTGATTACTCTAGAGAAACAATTAAGGTAAGGTCAGAATTTGGGGCGATAGACATATCATCAAGAAAAGTGGCTTTGCCTACACTTTCTTTATCTCCTCTTGGTCCAAAGTTTCCTGAAAGAGTGAAATGTGGAGAATTATGCAGGGATCATATGCCAAAGTTAGATGATAACAATATAACTCTTAAGGACATAGAACAATCACTTGATGGAACTATCTCAGCCATTTCATCATCCTGGAAAGAGGAGGCTTTTAGGTTGCTAAGTAACTCATCGCAAGATGTTGATATGCTGCAGAAAAAGTTTGACCGTTTTGGGTCTGAGAGTACTACCACTGGGATGGGGCAGCAGTGGAGTCAGGATTTGAAATCTAAGCCTAAAGGTGTTAAATTAGTACGAACCCCGACTGGACTGCCTGGTAGAAGGTCATTGGTTGGATCATTTGAGGAATCCCTGTTGTCTGGTCGATTGGTATCTGCAAAGGTTAATCAGGTTTGGATTCATTTCTTCAATAATGAGATATATATTGAGCTCCATGTTGTAACAATTTCTGCGGTTGATCTTAGTTCCTATTTGAAACTTGGTTTGCAGAGAATTGATGGTTTTCTTGCTGTTCTGAATGTCACCGGAGGGAATTTCTCGCCAAAATCACAGAAACTTCCGTTTGCAGTGACCAGTGTAGATGGAGAAAACTATTTACTGTATTATTCATCAATAGATCTGCCTAGGAATATGACTCCAAGCGATTATGGAAGTCTGAGGATGAAGCGGAGCTTTAGCATGGATGATTCACGAGCAGACAAGAGCCGTCTGAGAATACCCATGAAAGGCCGCATACAACTGGTAATTAGAATATTAATCAAAATATATATCAAGTACCAGAAAACTTCAAATGGTCTCAGTTCTATCCACAGCAATGCATTGAATTCAGGAACTTTTTTGAATCAACAGGAGTTTTTTGTGTTCTTGATGTGCTAGATATGCGATTATTGATAGTTGTTTGTGTAGCTTAGGATGTCTCACTCTCATGTGTTTAAGCTATGGAATTTGATTTCGGGAGAAAAGAATGACATTGCATGCAGGGAAGAGAGCATAATTTCTATCTATCATCATTTTGGATGATGGAATAAGAAGTAACTGTCAGGGAAAAAGTTTTTCAACAAAATGCATGATAAGAATATGGATAATGGATGCTCATGCTGATTAAAAGTTTTTCAATTAATTCCTTGTAGTTGTACATATCCAATAACATCTGGTGGTAGTCAGACCAAGACATGGTTGGTCATACACTCATGAACTGAATTGTTTATGGCAGGTTCTCAGCAATCCAGAAAAGACGCCTATTCACACCTTCTTCTGTAACTATGATTTGAGTGACATGCCAGCGGGTACCAAGGTAGTCAAGAAGTAGACAGAGAAAAATTAATATGTCAGGTCTCACAATTCTTATGCATGATGAATCTTGTTCGTAATTGATACCTGCTTTCTGGAAGTTTGGACCATCTTCACATGGTTTGAATGTGAAGTCAAACCTATCTCGAATGAATCTGCACTTTTATATGGAATTGGATATGGCTAGGTTTTTCCAACAGGTATCACCAATTATAGGATATACAATAATTTTCTTTAAGACCTCCATGAATTTTGAAAACGTTATAGTCATAAACTTAGGAACTTGTCTTTTGACACTTCTTGACTTCATTGAGTTATTCAGATTAAGTGCTGCCACATACCTATGTGCAAATATACATTTGAAGGTAATAGATTGTGTGCAAACATACTTAGGTAGGAAAAGAAGGAAAAACACAAAGATGCAAGAGCGTGAATTTTAGGTAGCAACAGGGTTTGAATGGGTTCAAGTTGACTGCTGCTGCTAGGCCTTTTGACGTCAACCTATGCTCAGACCGTCTAATAGGAGCCCAACCTGAGTTCATCCTGAGTGTGATCCTTACCTGGAATATCCAAACACAGGATGCCTTAACTAGCATAGCCCCTATATGTTTACATTAATGGTAAGATAAGCTGATAACAAAAATCAGTCATCATTTGTTAAAAATTAAGATCGTTTTGAGGTGAGCTTTTGAAGATGTAGCAACCATCTAAATTTACCCTTCATA